GTAAAATGGATGAATTATTCGTGGTTGAGTTTACGTTTTAAAAATTAAAAAGCCCTTTAAGTTTTTTGGGTTCAATTAGACAACATACTTTATTAAAAAAAAAAATTTTTTAAATGTAGGGACATGAATGGGGAAATTTTAAGGGCTGAATTTTTAAAGGGGAAAATTGGGTTTTTTTTTTTTTTTTTGTTCTTTTTTTTTTTTTTTATGGGAATAAAAAGGTTTAACCAAAGTCAAACCCAAAAAATAAGGGGAATACAAAGGGTTTTAAACATGAACACCAAAAAAATGGGTTTTACAAGGGTTTTATTAGTACAAACCCCAAAAAATATGGTTAAAAACAAGGTTGTATCTGTAAAACCAACAAAAATGGGTTTGGGGAAGGGGAAAATTTTTGTGTTGATTAGACCAAATTTTTAAAACAGATGAAATACTAGGCTTATTTAGGGAAAAATTTTTGATAATTGGAATTTTTTTTTGATTCAAAAATGCTCTTTAAATTTTAACAAATTGGGGGAGAATTTTTTTACGTATGGCATTATTGAAAAATGTTTTAGCTGAATCTAATTTTAGGTAAAAGATGTGTAATGTACATTTTTGCACACCTGGGGGAGAGACTGCGTGGACCCTCATTCCATGTTAATGGACATGTGGGACAACCTGGGGGAGCAGCTGCGCCGGGCCGTGCAGTTCTCATGTGTAATGTACATGTACCACCTGGGCGAGCAACTGCCGGACCGAGCAGATTCTCATGTGTAATGACAAGTGCCAACCCCCTGGGGGAGGCCAAAAACGCGGGGACCCTGCAATTTTTCATGTGGGAAAAGAAAATGGCACACCTGGGCGAGCAGCTTTCGCGGGGCCGGCCGTTCTCATGTGTAATGTTTAAAAAAGAAAACACCTGGGGCGAGCACACGCGGACCGTTGGGAGTTCTCATGTTAAAGGACAATTTTCCACAATGGCGGGGCAACTGCGCGGCCGTGCATTTTTCCCTGTGTAATGTACATGTGGGACACCTGGGCGAGCGCGCGCGGGCCGGCAGTTCCTGTGTAATTTTTAATTTCACAAACCCGGCGAGCAACTGCGCGGGCCGTGCATTCTTTTTTAAAAAGTAAAATGTGCACACCTGGGCGAGCACGCGCGGGCCGTGCCGTTCCATGTGGGAAATGAAAATGTACCACCTGGGCGAGCAGCTTCGCGGACCGTGGGAGTTTTTCATGTGTTAAAATAAAAAGTCACACCTGGGGGAGCAGCTTTGGTACCGGCAGTTTTCATGTGTAAAGTACCTGGCACACCTTGGGGGAGAACTGCGCGGAAACCGGTGCAAAATTCTTATTGTAATTGGGGGCATTTGCACAAACCCGGGCCAGCAGCGCGCGGACCGTGGGAGTTCTTATTGTAATGACATGTTCACCCTTGGGGGAGCAAACTGCGCGGGCCGGCAGTTTTCATGTGTTTAAAGTACAGTACACACCGGGGGGAGCACCCGCGCGGACCGTGCCCTTTTCATGTGAAAAGTACATGTGCAACCTGGGCGACAGGGTGCGCCGGAAACCCTGCTTTTTCAAGTGTAATGTACAAGTCCCCACCTGGGCGAGCAGGCTGCGCGGGGCCGTGCAGTTCTCAAATTTTAATGTACATGTGCAACCTTTGGGCGAGCAGCTGCGGCGGACCCCCGGGAGTTTCCATGTGTAATGTACATGTACACACCTGGGCGGGCAGCTGCGCGGACCGTGCAGTTCTCAAGTGTAATGTACATGTGCACACCTGGGCGAGCAGCTGCGCGGACCGTGCAGTTCTCATGTGTAATGATCATGTGCACACCTGGACGAGCAGCTGCGCGGACCGTGCAGTTCTCATGTGTAATGTACATGTACACACTGGGCGAGCAGCTGCGCCGGACCGTGCAGTTCTCATGTGTAATGTACATGTGCACACCTGGACGAGCAGCTGCGCGGACCGTGCAGTTCTCATGTGTAATGTACATGTGCACACCTGGGCGAGCAACTGCGCGGACCGTGCAGTTCTCATGTGTAATGTACATGTACACACCTGGGCGAGCAGCTGCGCGGACCGTGCAGTTCTCAAGTGTAATGTACATGTGCACACCTGGGCGAGCAGCTGCGCGGACCGTGCAGTTCTCATGTGTAATGTACATGTACACACCTGGGCGGGCAGCTGCGCGGACCGTGCAGTTCTCAAGTGTAATGTACATGTGCACACCTGGGCGAGCAGCTGCGCGGACCGTGCAGTTCTCATGTGTAATGTACATGTGCACACCTGGGCGAGCAGCTGCGCGGACCGTGCAGTTCTCATGTGTAATGTACATGTCCCAAAACCTGGGCGAGCAGCTGCGCGGACCGTGCAGTTCTCATGTGTAATGTACATGTACACACCTGGGCGAGCAGCTGCGCGGACCGTGCAGTTCTCATGGACCTGTATGGTCGGTGTAGGTTTCACTTGGATGTGTTCTTGACATCATTGGTTAATTATCCTATATTTCTTTCCGTGTCCAGAGCAGAAGGAATTTAGTCTGTAACGACATAATGAAAGTATACTTGTATTTTATTATTCTAATGTAAATTAAGAGCAAGGATGATTAATTTTGAGGAAGAGTTAATATAGGTTTGCATGTTTTTGCGAAAGTTAACTTATCCACATGTAGCTAGTATAGGACAGTTTTAAGCTTCGGTATCTGATTTTATATGTAGGTAATAGTGGTCATATTTGTTATATTGTAATGTTATTCGTTAATGTTTCAATATCTAATGTAATGTTTTTTCGGTTATTGTTCATATATTGTCATCTTTAGGGTTTTTCCTTTTGTCTATTGTCTATTGTTGGTTTTAAATAAAATATAAAAAAAAAAAAATCAATATTTGCACCAATAACTCACTACAGTTGTGACCGGGTGTGGAAGTGTGAATTGCTCATTACACTAAAATTTGTTCATGATTGTAGCCATGTATAAACGTAAGTAACCATTCTTACAGTATTCATTACCTTTGTAACTTGTGAGTTCATTACCTTGTACCTAGTTCAGCCATCAAAACTTTGGAGCCCGGTCCCTGGACCCATTGTGTACCTCTGTAATCTGTAAATACCTTTGTAACTTGTCATGATTGTGACTAGACCTACCTGGAGTTCATTAACTTTATAAATTGTGAGTTCATTAACTTTGTAAATTGAGTTCATTACCTTTGTAACTTGTGAGTTCATTACCTTTGTAACTTGTCATGATTGTGACTAGACCTACCTGGAGTTCATTAACTTTGTAAATTGTGAGTTCATTACCTTTGTAAATTGTGAATTCATTACCTCTGTAACTTGCTCAGCTATCAAAACTTTGAGGCCCAGTACCTGGACCCATTATGTACCTCTAATCTTTTGACTACCGCCCACAGGATGGGTATGGGGTGCATAATAAACATATTAAACTAAACTCGTGGCACCCCTGCTTTTCATTGGGGGAATGTTGCATCTCTTGCCGAGTTTTTTGCTTTCATACGGAGTGATTTTCGTGTGCAAGTTTGGTACTAATCACTCCAAGACCTTCCAAGTGTATAATATCATGTATCTCTCTCACCTGCGTTCGAGGGCATACAGATCAAGGACCTTCAACCGTTCCCAGTAGTTTAGGTGCCTTATTGCACTTATGTGTGCTGTGAAAGTTCTTTGTACACTCTCCAGGTCTGCAATGTCGCCAGACCTGAAGGGGGCCGTTAGTGTACAGCAGTATTCCAGCCTAGAGAGCACAAGCGATTTGAAGAGAATCATCATGGGCTTGGCGTCCTTAGTTTTGAAGGTTCTCATTATCTGTCCCATCATTTTCCTAGCAGATGAGGTAGATACATTGTTGCGGACTTTAAAGGCGAGATCCTCTGACATTATCACTCCCAGGTCCTTCACATTACTTTTCCGCTCTATTGTATGGTTAGAATTTGTGGTATACCCTGACATTTTTAATTTCTTCAAGTTTTCCATATCTGAGTAGTTGAAATTTCTCCTCGTTGAACTTCATATTGTTTTGAGTGGTCCATTCGAAGATTTGGTTGATGTCCACTTGGAGTCTCGCAGCGTCTTCAATGGAGGTCACGGCCATGGTGATCCGGGTGTCATCTGCAAAGGAAGACACGGAGCTATGACTGACATCTCTGTCTGTCAGAAATGAGGATGAGGAATAGAATGGAAGCGAGTACTGTGCCTTGTGGAACAGAGCTTTTCACCATGGCTGCCTGGGACTTTACTCTGTTTACTATTATTCTTTGTGTTCTATTTGTCAGGAAGTTGTAGATCCATCTACCAACTTTTCCCGTTATTCCTTTATCCCGCATTTCGTGTGCTATTACACCATTACAGAGGTACATAATTGGTCCAGAGACTGTACCTCAACATTACAGAAGCACATAATGGGACTAATTACTGCACCGAGAAATTCTGATAGCTGAACAAGTTAGTGATAATGAACTATTTACATATTTATGGTTACAATCGCAACCAGTTTTTCATGCAAACATGAATTAGGTCACACACAAAAAAAAATGGTAATGTGTTATTTACAATGAACAAAGTCAGGGTATTTTTCTAGAATGGTTTGTAACACACCACTGTAGATATAATACTCTGACATTTCTTGAACATTTCTGAGTGACTTGTCTCTGAATTCATTAATTTTATCGCACTCCAGTACATAATGATGCAAGGTGTGACAATAGTCCATCTGGCAAAGTTTAGATTTCGTTTGGTCTACATCTGGTGGTGGTGATTTAACCTGCCAAAGATACTTGTAACCCAGCTGGAGCCGGGCAGTAGTGACATCCAAGAGTCTGCTTATTTTGTTCGAATGCACCATAGACATGTGGCTCCTCCTGCATTATAGAATGACGATAGATGGACTGACTGATGTCAAGTCTCCTTCAGTCTCAAGTTAATGAAGTTCTTTTCGTATTATTGTTCACAAACTGCTAACTGACAGTCCAAGATCTACTCCCACTCTGACTTTGCTAATTCATCAATTCTATCATGCATCTCAAGACCAATGTGAGATGGAATCCAAAGGTGCACTCCAACTCCATTGTCCACAATCCTACCATACCTGTGTCTGACTTCTGACACAAGTATGCCACAGTTTATACTTAACGAGTTGAGAGCATTTATGAACGATAGAGAATCAGTTACAATTAGTGTTAACCTTTGATACATGGACACATTTGAGTGCAAGAAGTATGGCAAACAGTTCTGTATGAAGAGTAGAGGCCCAGTTACTGATGAGTGCTCCAACTTCTTTATGAGAGCCATCACTATGTGACAACAGCAACACTACCAACTGCACCAGTGGACTGGTGAACACAACCATCAACATAAATAATTTGTGAAAGTGTGCTGTGTGACTAAATTATCAATACAGCTTAAGGCATCCTGCTTGGCTGAAGGTCAAGAGAGTTTAGGTAAGACCCCATGTGGGGTGAGCTGGGAAGACGAGATAGGCGAAGAATAGCCATGGGGGATGTCTGAGAATGTAATCTTTAGCATAGATGATGCGTTAGGGATCTTGGAGATACTATCTACCGAGGCCCAAGTGTTTTGTTCTTAGACAGATGACTTCAGTGCTTCAGTAGAGGTGATGATCTTGTCCAGTCTTTTCACAAAGACCGAACGTTTCGCCTTCAAGATATGATGAATTGTCGTGTTTGTAGGGTCTTGACTGAAGTCGTCCATTAGTTTTGAGGTTTCATTGTTGTCTGTGCAGACGACAATGAAGGAGTCCTTCAGGGAGTGGAATGCCGTAAATTTGACTTGCAGGCAGGTCCTAACGGCGGTAGCTGAAACTAGCTTCGAGGAGTCATTGATTACTCCATCCACAGGCTTGATTTTCACACGATGCGACAGCATTGTGAGAAAGGAAGTGGCGCTTGTAGGATATAAATTCCCCTCGCCAGTGGGGATCGAAGGGAGACTTCTTGGACGAACTGTCTTTTGCCAGTAGCAAGGTCAGAAGTGGCCTTGCTTTGTTTCAAGGCGAAGCTTTAGTTGTGATTTAAGATTTTTTTTTTTTGTTTGGGAGAAGGAATGGAATAACAGTGGTTTGGAATGGGGTAATATCCCATGGAGTGGGGAAGTGCTGCTGTTGCCTTACTTGACATAGATCATGTACCTGGTTCATGCAAAGGCCAGTTACTGTTTTCATGATCCATCTGAAGAAGTGTTCACCAGCGCTGTGGAAAGTTTGGAGGGTTTCTGTGCAAGGGTTTCACACCCTGTTTTTAAGACACTACTTGATGCAAACAGCATGTTCAAACACATTCAGAGGCATGCAAGATGTTCCATACACAATCAGAGGCATGCACGGTGGTCCAAACAACATCACACATTGTCGTGCACGCATACACACGCACGGACACACAGACACAGACACACACACACAGACACACAGACACACACAGACACAGACACACACAGACACAGACACATACAGACACACACAGACACAGACACACACAGACACAGACACACACAGACACAGACACAGACACACACACACACACACACAAACACATGTGGGGGACATGATAACGAAATATAAAATACCGAGAGGAATTGACAAGGTGGACAGAGACAGAATGTTCCAGAGATGGGACACAGCAACAAGGAGTCACAGTTGGAAATTGAAGACACAGATGAATCACAGGGATGTTAGTATTTCTTGAGTCACAGAGTAGTCAGGAAGTGGAATAGTTTGGGAAGCGATGTAGTGGAGGCACGATCCATTCATAGCTTTAAGCAGAGGTATGATACAGCTCATGGTGTGGAGATAAAAAGAATGCAGATGTAATATATACAGACTTTGTAAAAGCCTTCGACAAGTGTGACCATGGCGTAATAGCGCACAAAATGCGTGCTAAAGGAATAACAGGAAAAGTCGGTCGATGGATCTATAATTTCCTCACTAACAGAACACAGAGAGTAGTCGTCAACAGAGTAAAGTCCGAGGCAGCTACGGTGAAAAGCTCTGTTCCACAAGGCACAGTACTCGCTCCCATCTTGTTCGTCATCCTCATATCCGACATAGACAAGGATGTCAGCCACAGCACCGTGTCTTCCTTTGCAGATGACACCCGAATCTGCATGACAGTGTCTTCCATTGCAGACACTGCAAGGCTCCAGGCGGACATCAACCGAATCTTTCAGTGGGCTGCAGAAAACAATATGAAGTTCAACGATGAGAAATTTCAATTACTCAGATATGGTAAACACGAGGAAATTAAATCTTCATCAGAGTACAAAACAAATTCTGGCCACAAAATAGAGCGAAACACCAACGTCAAAGACCTGGGAGTGATCATGTCGGAGGATCTCACCTTCAAGGACCATAACATTATATCAATCGCATCTGCTAGAAAAATGACAGGATGGATAATGAGAACCTTCAAAACTAGGGAGGCCAAGCCCATGATGACACTCTTCATTCAGGTCACTTGTTCTATCTAGGCTGGAATATTGCTGCACACTAACAGCACCTTTCAAGGCAGGTGAAATTGCTGACCTAGAAAATGTACAGAGAACCTTCACGGCGCGCATAACGGAGATAAAACACCTCAATTACTGGGAGCGCTTGAGGTTCCTAAAACTGTATTCCCTGGAACACAGGCGGGAGAGATACATGATTATATACACCTGGAAAATCCTAGAGGGACTAGTACCGAACTTGCACACGAAAATCACTCACTACGAAAGCAAAAGACTTGGCAGACGATGCAACATCCCCCAATGAAAAGCAGGGGTGTCACTAGCACGTTAAGAGACCATACAATAAGTGTCAGGGGCTCGAGACTGTTCAACTGCCTCCCAGCATACATAAGGGGGATTACCAACAGACCCCTGGCAGTCTTCAAGCTGGCACTGGACAAGCACCTAAAGTCGGTTCCTGACCAGCCGGGCTGTGGCTCGTACGTTGCTTTGCATGCAGCCAACAGTAACAGCCTGGTTGATCAGGTTCTGATCCGCCAGGAGGCCTGGTCACAGACCGGGCCGCGGGGGCGTTGACCCCCGGAACTAACTCCAGGTAAACTCCAGGTAGCGGCCAGTGAAGAGGCTATAAATCGACCCCGGCAACCACAACTAGGTGAGTACACACACGGGTGGGGAGACTTTTTTTTCTTGGACTGTAAGAAGGCTTTTGACAGTTCCACACAAGAGATTAATGCAAAAACTGGAGGACCAGGTAGGTCCTCCAGTTTTTGCACTGCAATGCATAAGAGAATACCTGACAGGGAGGCAACAGCGAGTCGTGGTATGTGACGAGAAGGGTTCCACAGGGGTCAGTCATGGGACCGGTGCTGTTTCTGGTATATGTGAATGACACGACGTAAACCTAATGAGGAGCATTCAGTCAGATGAAGACCAGGCAGGACCACAAAGGGATCTGCAGTCTGCAAGCCTGGTCCAACAACTGGCTCCTAGTGTGTGTGTGTGTGTGTGTGTGTGTGTGTGTGTGTGTGTGTGTGTGTGTGTGTGTGTGTGTGTGTGTGTGTGTGTGTGTGTAGTGTGTGTGTAGTGTGTGTGTAGTGTGTGTGTGTGTAGTGTGTGTGTGTGTGTGTAGTGTGTGTGTGTAGTGTGTGTGTGTAGTGTGTGTGTAGTGTGTGTATAGTGTGTGTGTGTAGTGTGTGTGTGTGTGTGTGTGTGTAGTGTGTGTGTGTGTGTGTAGTGTGTGTGTGTAGTGTGTGTGTGTGTAGTGTGTGTGTGTGTGTGTGTAGTGTGTGTGTGTGTGTGTAGTGTGTAGTGTGTGTGTGTGTAGTGTGTGTGTGTAGTGTGTGTGTGTGTAGTGTGTGTGTGTAGTGTGTGTGTAGTGCGTGTGTAGTGTGTGTGTAGTGTGTGTGTAGTGTGTGTGTAGTGTGTGTGTAGTGTGTGTGTAGTGTGTGTGTGTGTGTGTGTAGTGTGTATGTAGTGTGTGTGTAGTGTGTGTGTGTGTGTGTGTGTGTGTGTGTGTGTGTGTGTGTGTGTGTGTGTGTGTGTAGTGTGTGTGTGTAGTGTGTGTGTGTAGTGTGTGTGTGTAGTGTGGTGTGTGTAGTGTGTGTGTGTAGTGTGTGTGGTGTAGTGTGTGTGTGTAGTGTGTGTGTAGTGTGTGTAGTGTGTGTAGTGTGTGTGTAGTGTGTGTGTAGTGTGTGTGTAGTGTGTGTGTAGTGTGTGTGTAGTGTGTGTGTAGTGTGTGTGTAGTGTGTGTGTAGCGTGTGTGTAGTGTGTGTGTAGTGTGTGTGTAGTGTGTGTGTAGTGTGTGTGTGTTTGTGTGTGTGTACTCACCTAATTGTGGTTGCAGGGGTCGAGACTCAGCTCCTGGCCCCGCCTCTTCACTGATCACTACTGGGTCCTCTCTCTCTCTGCTTCCTGAGCTTTGTCATACCTCTTCTTAAAACTATGTATGGTTCCTGCCTCCACTACTTCACTTGCTAGGCTATTCCACTTGCTGACAACTCTATGACTGAAGAAATACTTCCTAACGTCCCTGTGACTCGTCTGAGTCTTCAGCTTCCAGTTGTGACCCCTTGTCCCTGTGTCCCCTCTCTGGAACATCCTATCTCTGTCCACCCTGTCTATTCCCCGCAGTATCTTGTATGTCGTTATTATGTCTCCCCTGACCCTTCTGTCCTCCAGTGTCGTCAGTCCGATTTCCCTTAACCTTTCCTCGTACGACATTCCCTTGAGCTCTGGGACTAGCCTTGTTGCAAACCTTAGTACTTTCTCTAACTTCCTGACGTGCTTGACCAGGTGTGGGTTCCAGACTGGTGCTGCATACTCCAGTATGGGCCTAACATACACAGTGTACAGTGTCTTGAACGATTCCTTATTAAGGTATCGGAACGCTATTCTCAGGTTTCCCAGGCGCCCGTATGCTGCTGCGGTTATTTGGTTGATGTGTGCCTCCGGTGATGTACTCGGTGTTATGGTCACCCCAAGGTCTTTCTCCCTGAGTGAGGTCTGTAGTCTTTGTCCACCTAGCCTATACTCTGTCTGCGGTCTTCTTTGCCCCTCCCCAATCTTCATGACTTTGCATTTGGCTGGATTGAATTCGAGAAGCCAGTTACTGGACCACGTGTCCAGCCTGTCCAGGTCTCTTTGCAGTCCTGCCTCATCCTCGTCCGATTTAATTCTTCTCATCAACTTCACGTCATCTGCGAACAGGGACACTTCAGAGTCTATTCCTTCCA